AGTATGGGCGGCACAACGATAGTGTTTAAAATCAGTATTATTAAATTTTTCTTTAAGGCTTTGTTGTAAGTAAGTAGCAAAAGTAATCATATTAGATCCATTATCGGTTGTTACAGCAATTATTTTTTCTCCAATTCTGTAAAAGCTAATAATTTCTAATACCGTATTTGAAATATTCAAACCCGTATGACTATCTTTAATAGGAACGAGATCAAGAAGCAATTTTTGTGCACTCCAATTATTATCGATCCAATGAAGTGTTATAGATAAATAATTACTATTATTGCAAGCAGTCCATAAATCGGTTGTAATAGCTAATTTTCTTGTCGTTTTATTTAAAAAATCTTTTACTAATAATTGTTGTTTTTGATAAATTGCTTCAATTTGACTAGATACGGTTTGACGAGATGGTAATTGATATCGTTCATCAAATTCTTCAATAAGTTCAACGAAACTAGGATCCTCGACGACTATAAAAGATTGTTGATTACAGATAATCCATTTTATAAGGAGATAAGTAATACGTTTAACTTTTAATTCATCATCTATTCCATAAGGTTGAACCGCTTTAGTTTTTTTAATATCTAACTCTAATTGATTATAAATGTCCGTATGAAATTTTTTGAAATGCGTTTTAATTGTACTAATTCCTGTTGATTTTTGCCATTGCACTGAACATCGTTTACAACAAACAAAAAGACCATTATCACTTGGTTCAAGATATTGGCGTAAAGGATGAGGTTTTTTACATTTTTTATTTGATGAATTATCAAATAACGATTCTATGGATAAAGGATCTACTTTTAATTCTTTTTGCAAAGAATCACAAATTTCGCTATATAGAGATTCTTGTGAAGAATCTTGTATTTCGATAATTTTAGTATCATTAAGATTACTCATAATTGCAAAATTTTATTATTCGTGATTGCAAAAGTTTAATATTCGTGATTACAAAAAATTTAATGTTCGTGATTACAAAATTTCAATATTCAAAGTAAAAAATATCTTTTTAAATAAAAACCAATGTATTGTTATTTTTTCTTAATTGTTTTTATTTTTTTAATGTTTTTCTTATTATTCTCTAAATTTCGCTTTCTAATTAGTAATCATATGATTAAAGCGAAGTTCGGGTAACAATCGACTTTCTATATACGGTAAAAACTGTTTATCAAATTAGTTTAAAACCATTTAAATAAAAACCGCTTGCCAAATTAAGAGCTATAAACTAGTTTGAGACTTAATTCTTTTCTAATTTAAGTTTTGAACTGAAGTTTCAAACAAAGACCGGACCAATCACTTAAGAATCTCAATAAACGGTCTGGAACTTAAGTTCTTTTGGAACGCTTAACATCCCTAATCAATCATTGGCTGTTATAGAATTTAAAAGTTTTTTTAAAACTGAATGTTTTTTTTAACAACTACTCAATTTTGTTGGTTTATTTTTGCCTTTTATAGCTTTTATAGTTTGTAGTACATTAATATTTTGAGTCGTTCTTGTGTTGATTTTGAACGTATGATCGTCAAAACAACTTCCTTGTAATCATATAAAAGGAAAAATCTACTCCTTTTTTATATATACTTTGGTACTAGATACTACATGTAGATACTACATGTAGATACAAGAAACTGGGATATTAATTGTTAAGTATTGGATACACAATTTTGACCATATTTATTATTTTTGAATGGTTGTTTTAATTTGTGAATGTGTATTTCTTGATTTTTTACATCTTTTTGTTTTTTTTTCACACTTTTTTTGACAGATAGATTAAATGATAATCAGTGATTGTTAAAGGTTGAAATGTAAAAATTGTAGCAAAAGAATTTGGTTTCAGAGTTATATTCATGTCTTGTAATTATTAACATGATATGAGGTATAGAAATTGAAACTGTTTAACTGTTTAAAAATTGCACCATAATTCTGGGCAAAATTATGTTGGTTGTGGGCCAGAATTATCTTAATGCCAGCCAAATTAAACAGTTAAATGATTAAATGATTAAGAAAAATTTTAGGCGGTTTCAATCCTTAATGAAGCATTACCAATAATGGATTTATATCAACAAATCACCTGTGTTGTATAGTTTTTTGTGCATATAGAAATGTAATCTGATTGGTTGTTTTTTGAATATATTTATTATAGCTTAGATTTGATATGAACACTATATTTGTGTTAAAAGGAATCTAACTGGTGTGACAGATTTATTTATTACTACTACTCAATTTTGTTTGGTTGTTTTTGCCTTTTATAGCTTGTGATATGTTGATATTTTTGGTTGTTTTTGTATTTGAGTGCTGCTAAAAAAAAAGAGCACCTCTATTTTTTAATCAATTATTGATTCAATAATTGATTAAAAAACAGAAATGTTTTTTTTCTATTGGCAGCACTCATTTGTATCTATTTAATTAAGTCAAAATGAATTCAGTAATTAGTTGAAATCATGTTTCCCATTAATTTTGTTATTTTTATGCCTTATTATTTTGGCTAAACCCTATTGAAAGCCTTATGCCTATATACTACAGAAGTATGTGCTAATATATGTAGATATGTATTTGCTTATGTGAATTTAGTCTCTTGCTGCTTGAACATATTAAATAATATGCCAGCTACTATTACTGAATCATAAATCAAGCAAGAAACTTATATAAAAATTTCAATGATTAACTTCATTATTTACTATTTCTATTAAACTGATTATCTTTAATTTATTAATAAAACAAACATTCAATAAATACTTAGAACCCAATCTTCTCATTAACTGGCATAGGCAGAAGTTTGCCTAATTTCTAATAAAATTTTATTTAATTTTACAGACTTATTTTTTTAAAAAAAAACAAAAACCAACCATAATAATGTAAAGAAAAGCTGTATAGAAGGTTTCATTAGAGCTGTAGGACTCAATAGTCAAAAATAAGATCTAATTTTGTCAGTTTAAAAAAATTAACTTAGTAATAGGTTGATTTTATCAGGTTTTGAGAAGTTATTCTATACAAACTTTTTTAAACAGACGAGAATTAGATTTTATTTTGGCTATGAAGCCCTACAGCTCTAATGAAACCTTCTATATAGCTTTTTTTATTCCATTATGATTAGGTTTCGTTTTTTAAAAAATTCTCTCTAAACTGTATAAATAATGTAAAATTAAATTGGATTATTAGCCAATCAGACAAACTTCTACTGCAGTAAACAAAGACTTTAATACTTGACTCAAATATTTCTACGTCCTAATTTAAGACTACAACTATAATGCATCTGTTCTTAGTAAATAAATTCCTTAAACACGTAAGTTTTATTTCTACAATGTAAAACTTATCCTTATAATAACTAGCACCAGTTCTGTCTTTATATCTAAAGCACACATCATACCCTAAATTTTAAGCCATTGAATCCCATATCCAAGCATATTAAAAATAAATATCGAATAAAACAATATATTATGTATTTATATTTTATACGTATGTTTATATACAATAAAATCTTATTTAAAATTTTTTAAATGTATCTAAATTTTCTGATATAATATCATTTAACCATTATATATTGTTTCTTTTAAGAAATAATACTATAACAGCCTCAACGGGGCGGCGAAGCCGCCCACATCTGCATCCTCTAGTTATTAATATAATTATCATTTCTTTTCGATTTGTTTTTATTTATAGTTACAAAAAAAATAAGGGTCAGCCTTTATGTGCTGATATTAATTACACAGCTAATACTGAAATTTTTAACTGAAAATACGAAACCTACATTTTACTCTTTTATTACAAATTAAACCCTAAATTTTCGAAATCCTGTCATGCAGAATACGATTTCAGCATGTCCGATTTATTTGTAATTCTATATTTATTCAAATCAAAAAGATTTAAAAAAAAAATAAATAAATAAATAAAATAAACAAATGGATACATATTATATTACCCTTACCTTATATACTCATTTACTTGATTATTTACTTGATTCAAAATATTTTTTATTTCGTTTATCTGAAGTTTGCTATAAAATGTTTCGTTCCACTCTGATGCTTCTTTAATAAATTCACTTATTTGAAATATGCCATTATCTATTTTTGTCTGATTCTCTGTTGATTCGTTTACAATCTCTAATGCTTCATTTATATTCTTTTCAATTATTTCTATTTTCGCTTGTAATATATTACATTTTATCTGATCCTTTTTACTTTTCTTATGCTATTTTGTGCTAAGGATGATTTTAATAGTTGCAATAGTTGTAGCATTTTTTCCAAGTTCCTTTGAATCTTTTCTTTTATATATTTTTCTTGTGTTTTTAAGCCCCAATTTAAATGAAATGAAATTAAAGTATTTATCTTTTCAGGTTCTTTATGGCCCATATGTTCTATCAATCTACTAAATGCTATACTCCAAATTGCGAGTGATATTTTTGTAATAATACGACTATTGCTAAACACATATCCTGAAATAAATGCTGGAAAAGATATTAAAATAAAAATAGCTATATGATTAAAAATACTAACAAGACTATTTAAAAGTTTAGAATGTAGGTTATTATGTACTAGCATCCAATCAAATGAAAATGAAAAACCAAGCAAAATAATTATTAAATAGTAACATGCATAAATTGATTTTCCTACATATTCACATTTAACAACCCCAAATTTATCATTACATCTATCATTTCCTTCATCAACTTTCATCGACCATTCAAATTTGCCGTAAAAATCAGATAAGTCTTCGTATAAACAAATGCATGATATGTCAGAAACATAGCACTAAAAAGCATAAGAATAAAAATACGGGCTACGAATCTAAAGAAAAATTTGTCATAAATGTCAAGTTTAAACCGTTTAAAAGTAGATTTAAAAAATTCAGCAACATGACATAAAAATATGCGAGATAGAACTGAGACTATTAAATAAACTAAAGAAAGGATAGTAGATTGTCTAAAATCTGGAAAAAATTGAAATGCATTTACAAGAGAATGTATCGAAATTGACAAAAAAATAATAATATCATCAAATACATTTATAGCTGAGGATATGTTTTGTTTTTCTTTTTCAAAACAACTAAACAAGCTAATCGCATAAAATGGGACCAATACACCCACAATTGTATCAACTGCATCATCAAGTGGATTGTAATTATCCGATTCCATTTTTACAATTAAAAAAAATTGGTTTCCTCTTCTTAATCTGCTTCTTAATTTTTTTAAAAGGAAGAAACTTTGTATTAGAATAGATAAGTATTAATGGTACTACTCGCTATGTTGGTTAGATTAATAACAGTAAATTCAGGTATTGATATAGATGGGCACTATGCAGCATGGTGCTTAATTGTTACATGATTAAAATTATGAAATCACATCGGATGTTAATTTTTACGTAAATTATAATATGTGACGATTTAGCATCATGCACATCCTCTAGTATAATTACGTCCATATTCCGAATGGTTACACGATTGTCAAAGCAATTTTTTATACGTTTTACGATACTTTGTTAGGGTGTTCGGGTTACATAACTTTTCTAGCAAACGTGAGCAACTTCACTAAGTAAACTTGAAGCTTTCGTGCTGTACTATAACATATTCAAATAATCCCCGATAATCCCACAACTTTTATAATGGTTTGCCAAGTAAAAAATATATTCGAAATTAAGAAATGCGACTGTTGCAATTCTATTGATTCGAAAAAATTCTGCCTGGTTCAAGGTGAAAAATGAGAAGAACTTGAGCGTAAGAACCTAATACAGTCGACTCTGGACATACCGAACTGCATATTCTGGGAGGTTTTGTTCGGTATAGAGTGGGTTCGTTATATAGTTTAGTTTTTCTATAGGTATACAGAGCTAACCAATGAAATCATGTGTAGGATCACAACGGGTCAGTGTATTGTCGAAATTTTTGCTCCTGTTCGGAATCTTTAGGA